CACCAGTATCATCTACACACATGCAGAAACATAATTATGCCATGTACAACGGCCTTTGATAGCATGTACAGTTTTCTTCTTAATTCTTTATCAAATGCATTGATCGTGGTGTATGCGCATTGATCCAGGAACCACATCTGCAGCCCAGCGATAAGGCCACGGTGGCATCTCTCTCTCGCGCTTGCTCTCTCTCGCTCTCGTTTGGCTGGAGGCTAAAGCAGGCTGCTGTAGGATTAGCTGATGCTCAACTACTTGCATTTTAAGTTGACACCTCAACACCAAGCAGAGGCCACATTACAGAGGAAAAGCTGCCCTGTCCGTCCACCCAACACTTCCCCTTCTGTACGCTGGCACTCTCTCTTTCTCCCTCTCTCTCTCGACTACATATAATTGGATTTGTGAACGGGAGCAGCCGAATGCTTCCTTTAGAATGGCCGGGGACACAAGGTGAAGTTTTCTCATTACAGACCACGAAGCCAGGGGACAGATCATAGACGATCTGTATTTTCCATTTAAAGAGGACAGAAATGGGAGAGAAGGAAGAATAAAAGAGAGGAGGGTTTGATAGACATTGCAGAGAGAGGGAGGTGAAGAGGACAAGGAAGTCTCTTTATTTCACAGGTCACTTTCTAAAGGACTGAGAGAGAGGGTTGATGAGCCCGAGACGTGGCAGTGTTTTCATTTTCTTGAACATGTCTCAAACATTGCGTTCATATTTGATTGCTTTTTTAAACGCGCTGAATATTTGGGTTTGGTTATTTCATTTGTCTACCGTTTGGATGAGTTCATAGGCAAGTAGGGTTGGGAATCAAAAACCGGTTCTTAATTATAACCGGTGACGTCATCACAGCCTTGTTGATTTTCACGCCATTGTCTTATTTTCTGTCAGCAATCAACTTTCAAGTGGATCATTGCAGTTTGAAAAGTCTGCAAACACACCTATGATTTTCTATATTACAATAGAATTTATGTATATATTGTAGGGCTGCACGATTATGACAAAAATCATAATTGTCGATTATTCCTTTGAAATTGTAATTGAGATTATTAATTACGATTAAATGAATGATGTTTACTCCTTTGTTTGAAGCAACTGCATGCCATATTTTTATATGAAAATAAACAAGCTGAAAACACTAACTGAAAAACTTGTATTGCTTTTCTATAGTATTACGCCTCAAAATGTCCAATATACATCGGGTTGGTTTCTTCTTTAAATAAAAAGGTAAAAATATGCATGGTATTATAATGTTAGACTAAAACTAAAATTAAAACAATGGAAAAACCCTTAAGATAACATGTAGAAAGAAAAAAAGCATCTTAAGCATGCAGAATAACATAAGTGGACTTTGACGATTAATTGCTGCTTTGAACGATTATGTAATTGTGGCTTATATCTGTAATTGTATTATATATACTGTATTGTATATATATATTTTTTTATTTATAAAAAAAATAAAGCAATTAAATAAATATAAAGAAAATAAATAGAATAAAGAATTATACATACATTTAAGAGAAGCTAATAATTATTTTTAATGGCCGATAGATAAATGGCTGATATAAAAAATCTATACTGTATTGTCTAAATCAATTTAAAATAAAACACTTAAAATTAAAACAATTGAAAGAATTGTTTTCCGAACGTATTCCATTATTTTCCCTCAAAATGAAGAAGAATCATTTATGGAATCAGAACCAGAATTGATAAATTACTAATGATTTCCATCCGTTCACACGTTTGTGTGTGTGTCTTTTGGATGGGCTAAAGATCCAAACCCTCTCTTCTGCACTGCTTGCTTGTGCTGTGTGTGTGTGTGTGTGTGTGTGTGTGTGTGCGCGGCCCTCCCCTTCTCTGCACACTCAGTGTGTCATGACAAATATATCTGTTTGTGCTTCACTGGCTGGCACCGTCTCTGGCTGGCTGGCACGGCTGTGTTAGCGCCAGGGCCCTGAGCCTGTGTGTGTGCCCAGCCGAGCGACTCCTTCCATGGCTCGCTGTATCCTCGCAGCCCCCATCCACCCTCCAGCCCCCTCCAAAAGAGCAGCCAGACTCGGGCAGCCACCCGGACCCCATGCCCACTGTGAGTGCTTCTGTCTGGGGCTCAGCTCTGCTGCCCACCCCCTCTCTCCCTGGATCTCCTGTCCAGAATGAGGGCGACAGCCCTCCATTATCTGCTTTTGCGCCTCTCTCCCTCCCTTTTTACTTCCCAAAAGATGGAGTGAAGTCTTCCCACACACCATGCTTTCTTCTCCACCTTTAACTATGACTTTGTCATAGTTTCTGCCACCCCTGATGTTTTTCTTTCTTTTTCTTCACTCGTTCTTGTGGATCCCCTCATTATCTTTGGAAATCTGCAGCTGGGAGGTTGGATGGGCCACTGATCTCTCCCCTCTCTTCCTCTTCCTTTTTCTCCCTCGTTTGCTCACTCCAAGCACAGCCCAGTTGGAGAGTCCAGACTGAACGGTCAAGCTTCAGTGTAGCTGAAGAAGAGCCACTTGAAGTCCATTTGAAGAGAGAGTCATTAAAGAAATCTCTTCATAAAAGGACAGACAGTTTCACACCTCATTGCTGCTGTAGAAATGGATCGTTCCACAGTGGTTATTCTGCACAGTGTGCAAAGCCGATTCATTTGGAGAGTCCAGTTGTATCTCTCAGTGATTGTTTTCATCCAAGCATTTTGACTTCACACTTTCATAACTGTCCCTTTCAGTGTCTCAGATTTTCAGTGCTTTATTGGCATGATTTTTTAAAAACATTAATACAAATCACAAAAACATTCTTCAACAATAGTTGATTTTGTAATGTTATATTGTAATAATCAGTTAGATTGCTTTTTACTTCTTTAACAGTAATTAAAGATTTTTCAGAAATTAATATATAGTTTTTTTTTTACTGCATTTTAGTCTAGTTTAATGTTATTTATGCATTTAAATTGTAAAAAAATATAGGAGTTCATGTAGAAATTAACAATAATTTAGTTAAGTAAGTCTTAAAAGTATTGCTTATTGCTATTTTATGTTATTGTTTTAATTAATATGCATCCAAAACCTTATTGTAAAGTTTTCCCCCAAAAAACTCTCTTTTTCAGTCCAGTGCAATTTAATTACTTTTTGTTTGTGAAATATGATGAAAGTACAGGCCTGAAGTTGAATGAAAATGTAATACAATGTGAACAGTTTATTTATTTATTTTTTGTAAAGTTAAGGAAAAACTTACAGAGCTGCATTCGAATGTCTGTCCTTTTTTCACCATCAGTGTTATCATTCATTTAGTGTGAATCAGCATTTATTCCAGGTATACCATGCATTTCCAACTTCATAAAGCGTCTTGTCTGCCCAATTCAAGCTTCTGTTAAATGTTCCAGCACAGTCTGTGTGGATTGACGCATCTTTCCTTTCCTCTGTCTGCTGCTGTTCTTCATCTCTTGTTAATTTTCCTCGACTACAGTATTACAGAACATTTCCAGAGTTGCCTAAAAGCAGTTTACACTGGGGGCCTGGTGCTAATCCTGCCCTTTGGGTGCACACACACAAAGAATCTCATTTTCTGTGCTAATGGCTAGCCTAGCCCTGCATTGCTGTATGTAAAACAGTGTGTCGAAGGTTGTGTGTGGTGATACCTGCAAGGTTGAGCAGATCATTTGGCGTTTTATACTTCAGCTGCAGAAAGAATGACAATTATATTACATTAAATTGTACAAGGAGCACAGGGCAAAAGCCTCACAGCTGAAACGAAACATGCATTATTGTACAGTAGAGGTAGATGTAGACACGCTCACAGAAACATGTGGTTCTGTTTGTTTTTGTTGATTGCTTAATTTATTCGCTTTCATATCATTGGCTATTCCAAGTCATCCTCCAATTAGAGCAGATGTATTCATTTTGCGAGAACATAGCAGACACACACTCATACTAAACGTGCCCAATTCAGCGTTGGCAGGGGAGCTCCTGTGTTTTCAGGTGTAACCTGGCCTTAGCTTTGTCTTGCATGTTCAAATTACCCTGAGACCCAAAGGCCTCCGGGCTAGACCCTTGAAAAGTGCTCCTGGGATTCCCTCATCTGCATCTCTCTGCTTATTGTCCTTCTGAACAATGGCTTCAGACAAACAGTGTCCAGAGAAACAGTTGAAATGGGGTTAATTAACTTAACACTTTTGTAACCAGTTGGGCTCATTCACTCTCTGCTCTTCTGCTCCAGAAACCTGTTACCACCTTGAAAATATGTGCATGGGTGTGTGTTCATGTGGCTGTCTGTGGGGCCAGGCTACCCATCATGTTATGCAGACCCATCTTAATTCTAATGTGTGGTAGTGGTACTACAACTTTGTGAATATTACATAAAATTGTTAGGTTATAATAACCATCCAGTATTATGCATTTTCTCAAAAGCATTGTTACCCAACTGTGGTCACTAATTCTGTCATTACCAACATAGTTCAATGAATCAGTGTTTCTCAAAATAATAGATACTAACTACAGGTCTAATTTCAATAATGTGTTATTGATTAGCAGTATTTTTTATTAAAAATATTTTACATGTCAGGTGCTTGGTCTAGTGATTAGATGTTGCAATTAAATGTAATTCAAGTTTGGATCAAGTGACATTTCCCAGTCACTGTTTCCTCATCTGTCTATTCATGTTTAAGTAGTTGATGCATACATTTCTGTCTCTACCTCTTGTTGATGCACACAAAACACTCTTAAACATATAGTCAGGCCAAAAAAAATTACACTCCAGCAAATATCTCAGGTTTATTATGTCTGGACCTATACAGAATCAATGACAAATAAACCATGCAGTGAATCTCTCTCGCTCTCTCCCTCTGTGCCAGAGACCCTCCATCCTTACTGTTAAAAAAGCTGCTATCAGTCTGATCTGATGGGAGAGAGAAGAGTGAAAATGGCATTTCTGTCAATTACTTGAGATGGCACCCGTTCAATAACCCCCCTCTCCCTCTGCTTCTGTGTGTGTGTGTGTGTATGTGTGTGTGTGTCAGGAGCGTGATGAAGAACGGCGCAGGCAGCTGCGAGAGAGAGCCAGGCAGCTGATAGCGGAGGCTCGATCTGGAGTAAAGATGGCTGAACTGCCTCTCTATACTGACTCCACCTCTATAGCCTGTAGTGCAGCTGGGAACAACTTAAAAGGAAGGTCAAAGACAGCTGGAGGTGAGTGCAGGGGGGCTTTTATAGGCCGAATATGCACATACACTCACAATGCATAAATGCATGCATGCACATTTTCTCATAAGCATGCGAACGCGCATACAAATCTACATGCGTTCACTTTGAAATACCACAGACATAAGCTCTGTTCCAAAACATACTGAGATGCCTATGTAGACATGCTCTTAAGGGTGCATACCTTGCTTTGGCGGAAGTCTAAAATCAGCTTCACATCCTTCATAAATAAGGTAATTCCATAATACATTGCATCATGCTTGTTGGGAGATGGTATGAAGCAAGAGAATGTTGATTATAATTCATTCAGAGCCTTAAAGCATGGGCTGTTGTGCACAATTTTCCCAATGTTTGTGTGTGCTATGTACATTTTGAGGCTTAAAAGCATAGTTCATCCAAAAATGAAAATTCATAATTTCATGTCATTCCAAACCTGAGACACTATTTCTTTCGCAAAGCACAAAAGAAGATATTTTGAAAAATGTTTCAACTGTTGTCCATACACTGAGACTTTCTTCAAAATATCTTCCTTTGTGTTCCACAGAAGAAATAAAGTCATACAAGTTTGGAACAACATGAGGATATTATTTTAGTATTATTTACATACAGAATCCGCTACCAGCATTTTCAGTATTACATTTTCTGTTTTTTTACTTTTAGTTTGTTTTTATTAGTTGTCTTATTAGTTTACATTTGTATTATTTTTAAATATATATATATAAGCTTTGTTTTATTTTTGTTTTAGTAATTTTAATACTTCAACTTAACTTATTTCACTTAATGTTTTTAGTTTTTTTAATCCAATATTTATATCTATCTAATTGTATTTCAGCTTTATTTCAATTAAATAAAATTATTTTTAATAGTTTTAGCTTACAGTAACACAAAACATAATTTAAATTCTTTGGTGATCTAACCCTTAAGTAGAGTATTGCATTGTTAACTTAGCATGTCAATGCCAAACACTGATTTAGATGCTGAATCTGCACATATTTTCTGTCATTGCTATTTCAGGCTCCCCAAGAACATTGTGAAAATGTTCAGAACATTAAGGCCAAGTACTAGTGTTTGGCTTCTGAGATTTTTAATTTGTTCATGAGCTTCAGTGTGTGTGTGTCCATTAAGAGCAGGCTGTATGTGCGTGTGTGTGTGTGTGTCCATTAGTGGCTTTCAGCCCTTAAAAAGCGATTTTGTTGCTCACTTCATAATGGCAACCAACACGTCTGCTTTCAGGGCCCAAAGGAGCATTACATTAAGAACTTACTGTTAAAAAAGCTGCTATCAGTCTGATCTGATGGGAGAGAGAAGAGTGAAAATGGCATTTCTGTCAATTACTTGAGATGGCACCCGTTCAATAACCCCCCTCTCCCTCTGCTTCTGTGTGTGTGTGTGTGTATGTGTGTGTGTGTCAGGAGCGTGATGAAGAACGGCGCAGGCAGCTGCGAGAGAGAGCCAGGCAGCTGATAGCGGAGGCTCGATCTGGAGTAAAGATGGCTGAACTGCCTCTCTATACTGACTCCACCTCTATAGCCTGTAGTGCAGCTGGGAACAACTTAAAAGGAAGGTCAAAGACAGCTGGAGGTGAGTGCAGGGGGGCTTTTATAGGCCGAATATGCACATACACTCACAATGCATAAATGCATGCATGCACATTTTCTCATAAGCATGCGAACGCGCATACAAATCTACATGCGTTCACTTTGAAATACCACAGACATAAGCTCTGTTCCAAAACATACTGAGATGCCTATGTAGACATGCTCTTAAGGGTGCATACCTTGCTTTGGCGGAAGTCTAAAATCAGCTTCACATCCTTCATAAATAAGGTAATTCCATAATACATTGCATCATGCTTGTTGGGAGATGGTATGAAGCAAGAGAATGTTGATTATAATTCATTCAGAGCCTTAAAGCATGGGCTGTTGTGCACAATTTTCCCAATGTTTGTGTGTGCTATGTACATTTTGAGGCTTAAAAGCATAGTTCATCCAAAAATGAAAATTCATAATTTCATGTCATTCCAAACCTGAGACACTATTTCTTTCGCAAAGCACAAAAGAAGATATTTTGAAAAATGTTTCAACTGTTGTCCATATACTGAGACTTTCTTCAAAATATCTTCCTTTGTGTTCCACAGAAGAAATAAAGTCATACAAGTTTGGAACAACATGAGGATATTATTTTAGTATTATTTACATACAGAATCCGCTACCAGCATTTTCAGTATTACATTTTCTGTTTTTTTTTATTAGTTGTCTTATTAGTTTACATTTGTATTATTTTTAAATATATATATATAAGCTTTGTTTTATTTTTGTTTTAGTAATTTTAATACTTCAACTTAACTTATTTCACTTAATGTTTTTAGTTTTTTTAATCCAATATTTATATCTATCTAATTGTATTTCAGCTTTATTTCAATTAAATAAAATTATTTTTAATAGTTTTAGCTTACAGTAACACAAAACATAATTTAAATTCTTTGGTGATCTAACCCTTAAGTAGAGTATTGCATTGTTAACTTAGCATGTCAATGCCAAACACTGATTTAGATGCTGAATCTGCACATATTTTCTGTCATTGCTATTTCAGGCTCCCCAAGAACATTGTGAAAATGTTCAGAACATTAAGGCCAAGTACTAGTGTTTGGCTTCTGAGATTTTTAATTTGTTCATGAGCTTCAGTGTGTGTGTGTCCATTAAGAGCAGGCTGTATGTGCGTGTGTGTGTGTGTGTCCATTAGTGGCTTTCAGCCCTTAAAAAGCGATTTTGTTGCTCACTTCATAATGGCAACCAACACGTCTGCTTTCAGGGCCCAAAGGAGCATTACATTAAGAAACACACCAACACACCCACATACTCTGAACTCTAATTTGAGGTGTTCACAGAGGGCTTCACTTCCATTTGTTCAGGCAGTCGCTTCCCACATAATCCTTCGGAAATACATCAGGAAAACTCTTGCGACAGCCAGCGTTGCCCTATGCCCCAACACGCACACATACACACCAGTCCACACAGCCCAAATCATAATCACTGTCATTATAACACACACCCATGCCGGGTAATCAGCATCTCATTGTCCATGGAGGACTCCTATAGACCGCATCTCCTTCAGCTCGGCTTTCCTGCCGTGTCCCGCATTATCATCAGCCACCATTTCTCCTTTTTATTTCACATTACAGGACAATGAGACGACACGTTACTGTAGCCCTAACCGCTGGGAGGCCTGTGCGGAAACAGTGGGGTATTAGCATAGCGGACAGCTGTGGCGTGTTATTAAAGGTGTTTACGCCAAGGGGTGTTAGCGTTGTGGCTAGCCGCTGCGTATAATTAAAAGTGCGCATGCACGCCGAGCGAGAGGGGTGTTAGCGGCACGTCAAGGTTTTTTTTAATACGTGAGGTGTTAACATAGCGGGCTAGCCGCTGTGCCTAATTCTGTGCCGGCTCATGTCCATGTGTACCATTTCACAGCTCAAGGGGAGACACAATATTCCTCTCCTTTTATCTCTTTCATCTCGCACTCTTTGACGCCCTCCATTTTCTCTTCATCCTCTCCCTGTCCACCAAATAGTGGTCCCTCCTCTGCAATCACGCGTTTACCGTGGCTCAGAAACGCTGCAGAACACCTCTCGTGGCCCACAGAGACGGACAAACCTGTGTAGACTGAGCGACGGGAAAAACGGGTCAGAGGGAGGGAGAGGAAGAAAGACAGTGAAAAAACGGTCTATTTGGCCTTTCGGGCTGTTGAACTCTGCTAATTTTAGAACTCATTAAAAATCAGGTTGGAGGGAAATGCTATAGGCTTGATGCACAAGGCCTATCGTGCAGAACGCATAATCCCACCAATTTACACACACAAACACTCGCCTCTAATTCTGAGAGAGCTCGAGCTGAGTAGAGCAAGACATTCGCCAGCAAAACTTTTACCACATGTTCTGTTAATTAGCTTAGCGCTGCCCTGTGTATGTGTTACTGTATCAATGAAAGAACATTTTTAAAAAGGGAGAAAGGGAAAAAAAACATACCGTCTCTTTCTTTTGCTCTTTTTCTCTGGTTGTTGTGGTTTTTCTTTAGGGACATCATGTGGCATTTTCCTACGAGTAATCAAAATAAAACTGAAATGCAATTTTCAAATTGCAAAGGGTATGATTTAATTACATAAATACATGCAGTGTGGGTTTCAGAGTGATGCACAGCACTGTGGTTTTATGCTTGAGCAACTGTTTTGTACATGAACAACTTGTATAACGTGCATATAGACCTTAATCAGGTTAGACGTCATATTTAATTTAAAGCGGGTCCTATTATGCTCTTTTACAAAGTCTTGATTTTGTTTTGGGGGTGTACTTGAACAGGCTCTCGTAACTAGGTTGTTTGAAAAACACATTATTTTTCACATATTTTACATTATTACAGCACCTCTCTCCCCAATCTGGCATGAACGGCTCGAATAGTTCCTGTATCAAATGAAAGCCCAGCTTCTGAAATATGAAATGTGCTGTGATTGGTTAGCTAGGCCAGTGTGTGTTGTGATTGGCAGCACTCGGCACCTGGTCGGGAAATGTCATGCCCCTTACCATAGCCGCCTGCCAGCTTCAGTGTAAATATTGTGTCAAAATCAAATCAATTTGAGCGTGATTTAAACCCGGATGATTGTAACCACTCTTCGTCTGCACTGGGAAAGCTAGCGTGTCTCCGACATAGTGATGATAACACTCGTTGCCTTCTCTAGTGCAGCTCGACCAGATCTCGTCCCATTCGTCGATATTTGTGATATGACAAATCCCGGAAAATATGCGTTGTAGTCCAAACGAGTCATTCGTTGTAGTTTTTGAAAAGTGATTTCTGTTAAATATATTTCTGTAAAATATCTAATTTTGAGTTGGACTTTGAGCTTTGTATCTTTGCAGATCTTTTTTATGCTCAAACAGCAACATTACAGGCTAACTAAAGTTGAAAAAGTGAAAAAGCATAATAGGACACCTTTAAAACAAAAACGAGAGGGATAGACGATATGCACTGTATAATAGTCATATATCATGCAGTTGTTTTTTTTTCAACTGAAAGTTTTTGTCTGAAAATAACTTAATGTTTTAACAGTTGAAAATGAGGAAATTCATGTTGTAATTTTACGGTCATACTGTACAATAAAATAATTACATTCTTTTTCTTAAATACATTATTTTTTGTTTTACAGTGAAATATTACAATAGTAATATTTCTTAGTTTAATATTATGGTAACACTTTAGATTAGGGAATACATTTTCACTATTAACTAAGAGTTTCCCTAAACAAACTCCTAATTTGTTGCTTATTAATAGTTATTAAGGTACAGTAGTTGTAAAGTTTAGGTATAGGGTAGGTTTATAAGTGCTAATAAACACCCAGTATACTAGTAATATGCATGCTAATAAGCAACTAGATAATAGTGAGAATTGGTCCTTAAAATAAAGTGTTACGAATATTTTTAATAATAATAGTAATATTAATAATCATACAATTATTATTGTTATTATTATTATTTTATAGTCATATTGATATATAAACACAAAATTTGAGACAAATTGTGCAGCTGTACAAACAAGCACAGCAAACCAGTGGCCAGTTGCGTAAACTGCTTAGACTAGTCTAGAAAGTTAGACACCTAATTTTTTTCTGCAAGACTGGTCATAATTTTTTAAGTCAGTTACATAAAAATGTAGATTGATCAGAGAAGTTAGACTGATAATCACTTGGTTAGCTGCTAGTTACTCAAACTAGTTCTCAAGACAGTCTTAATGTGGTGTTGTTTATGCAACCGACCCCAGGAGTTTTTTTTTTAATTGCATTTTAAATAACATAATATTTTTTACATTTATCAGAAAAATTGCAAATAGACACCCCCCCATATCGTGCAACCCTTTTTCCTCTTTGTTTTGTCTCATATTTAAGTTCGAACTGCCACGTGTGTGTGCGCGGTCTGCTCTGGTTACCATATAACTGAATGAGATCGATGTGTTTGGATTGAGTGTGTATTGTCAAGGGCTCTGTGGGATTCAGTTCTGTGGATGCGGAAGAGGAACTCTGGAGGAGATTTTGCCGTCAAGGCCAAATCTGCCATGCAACACACACACACATAAAGCTCAGCTCTCTGCCAGACACTCTCAGCCATCTGCCTGATTTCTCTCAGCTCAAACACACACCCCAACGTGACGGCAGCAAACTTTTTTGTTAAGGAAATACTGTTTGAACGTCTAAATGGGTCTAAACAAATGCTTTTCTGACTCTTTACTTACATGCAAAGTTTCCTTTCCCGCTGGAATACTGAGCTAACACTCAACGCTTCACTAACCTCCTCTGTCTCTTTCCTCTTCTCTCCTTTTTTGGGCGTCCCTGTTTGTTTGCTTGCTCGCAGACATTGTGGATGGGATGAGTGTGGAGGGTGAGGATGAGGAGAGCAGGAGTGATATTGAGGCGGCGGCATCATCTCATGCTGATGATGTCACTCATACTAACCCTGAGGAGGAACTGTCGTCTTCATGTCTAATGGAGGATGATTTTACTAACACTGCCAGTGACCTGGCCGCTCTGGGTAACCCAACACTGCATGTCCTCTGCGTGTGTGTGAACGTGTGCATGCAAAACCACATACCTGAGTTTGTGCATTAGTGTGCAGTGGTTTATCTGTGTATAACTACTTCTGTCTGTTTTTGATTGTTTTTATTTTGTTAACCTTTATCATGCCATTACGACCCTTGATTTAGTAGGGCTGCATGATTAATCAAAATCAAAATCAAAATCAAACCAAAATTGGTGTTATATGATTATCAAATACATGCACTGTGTGTTTCATAGTGCAATGCTGCACTGTGCTCTTCTACACATGAGCTGCTCAGGATGCAGTGTTGTCTGTGATTTTGAGTGGCTCAGTTCACAGTAAATGCCGCTCCATGCCAACTCATCTCTGCATTGGTTTGCTTATAACGTTTTGGGAATATATGGACCAAAAATCTTCCTAAGCTTTTAATGGGAAGTGCATATAAACCAAAGTGCTTATGAAGTGCTCAGCAATATTGGTTTTGCAATTTTACAGTTGAACTATAATTTTACAGTGAAATAATGGAATTGCAATGAAATTACAGTAGTAGTATTTCTTTAGTTTGATTTTAATAAGAATAAAAATTATTATTGTTGTTGTTGTTTTCGTATTAATATATAATCACAAAAGTTTGGCCAAATTGTGCATCCCTATAAATAAGCACACCAGGCGTGTTTTTTAATCCAGAAAAATCGCAATTACATTTTTTTCATTAAATTGTGCAGCCCTATAATTTTGTATTTCTTTCTTGTCACATTAGTTCCTATTTTAAACACCTTTTAGAATTAATTTATCTTTTAATTCAATAAATCATTAAGAAAAAAAGGAGGTTTCTTAAATGAGGTTTGTGCCTGTTACATTTCTGTCTGTGAGATTTTGATATTAATTTTATTTATTTATTTTTTGATGTTTTTAATGTGTTGTGCCTTAGTTTAATTAAAAAGTATTTGAACATATTCTCAAGACAAACACAATTATATCTGCCAAAGAGATGTGAAGTTGTTAATAATTAGTTTTTTTGTCTTTGTAAGGAAGTCTTATGAGATACCTGGAGGAAACCTGAATTATTCTTTCTCTTTTGTTTACTTTTGCGTAGTATCTGCGTTGTTTGTTTCTTTGTTTGGTTTGTGTTTTTGTCTGTTATTGTGAAAAGGTCTATGTATTGCACACAGAATCCTTTTCTCCAACATAATGAAATTAGTTTTTTTAGCACATTTCAGCTCTCAAAGAGTTATACTTTTCTCCATGGCACAGTTGGACCTTTTTTTAGTGATTAACAGTTTTATTGATTCTCAAGCAATTTTCAGAATAGATGGTAACTCAGGTCACAGATTTGCTATAATTAAATACAATTAAAACATCCTTCAGTATATAATGATGAGAAAACTAAATAAATTCATTCTTATAGCTCATCACATTTACATTGTCACAATCAGCATATTTCTCACATATTTCCAAATAGGTTAAGTACTTGGACCATTTTTTATAGTATAGGTTTAGCTTGTCTGTGTGCTTATAAGACATTTTTTCGAATGCAGCCACTCTAGTTAGTTCTACTACCTATTCCTGAAAGGAAGGGACATCCTCCTGAGAATTATTTGTCTGTCAATCAGTAAACTGGTTTGGACCCAGGATTTTATGTGTACAGTTGGACTTTTTAAGTTTTGTTATTGTTTCTAACAACAAAAATGGACTGCCGGGGAAAAAACCTAACCGATCCAAACACAAAAGACCATATAGATACCTGTCACATTGCACACTTTAATTAGTTTGAGGATGTGGTTCTTGTGTTTGGGAAAACTGTTGGTCAATGCACACACACCTGCACCTTTATCCAGGTTGTGCTGAGGCCTGATAAATGACTCCTGTGGTGTTTTTTTTTTAGGGAGGGAGAGGGATGCTGGGAGACGAGAACAGGACCCACATGAAAAGCTTCCTCACCTCACTTTCATCTCTAGCCCAGATGAGAGAAAGAGTGAGAGAGAGAGGGCAAGGCTAAACCTGCTTGTGAAAGGTTATTAGAAAAGACAGACTTGGAATATACAAAGGCTGACATAAAAAAGACACCAACACATTTGAAAGACAGTTTTGCATATAACAAGTAAATTAGACGTCATTGTTCATTAAAAGAGAAAGAGATGTTATGACTTTCAAGGAATCACAAGCACCGTTCCCTCTAAGCATGTTTGGCTGCTCATCTGACACTATTCCCTCACTGATGTCAAAAAGAACTGTAAGAAGTCAGACCTAGAAACAGATTGGGGAGAACTAGAGCTTCTTGAATAAGAGCTAAATTAATGGATGGAGTTTAAAGTGGAGTCTGTCCACGTGTCCATTGATTTTTTTTTCCTCAGTATGCAGCTGAAGCTGTGAGAAATCTTGTGTGGAAATATACAGCACTGATTAATTCCCAAGAGGATTAATTCACAAACAGTGCAGTACAAACTTCATTGTGGCACAAACACAGGCTCACAAAGGCCATGCAATATTTTTTTTATTATGAATGTCAAATTATTCGTCATTTATTGTTATATTAATATGTATGGTTTATAAACAATACATTTAGCAATCTGAAAAATATTTACAAAAATAATGAAATATTCATAAAATAATACAAACATTTATTATGAATAAATGTATATATGATCAAAACTACCTTTCAGAAGTTTGGGGTCAGTAAGATTTTTTTAAAGATTAGAACATTTATTTTACAGCAAGGACATTGATGAAATATGACCGTAAAGACGTTTATAACATTACAATCTGTAACATTTATTTTTATCAGATAAATACAGGCTTGGTAAAGATAGCATACTTTTGAACAGTTGTGTATATTATATGTTATATACTTCTGTGGATGCAGCCTAAAGAAGTGGTATTTGCTCAGCAAACAAAAATTTAAGGGAGCATTGGTAACTACAATCTCAGTAGAGGTCTTTTAATTCCTATAGGAAAAGTGTATGTGAGTGTCATTCAGGTGTGTCAAGCTCTCAGCATCTTGCTATCTCTCCTGTGTGTGTGTTGTGTGTATGAGGTTGAGAGGGCCGGTTTGCTTAAGGGCAAACATTGTCATGTCCTCTGCTTATCTGTGTCTTGGAGACAAGTGGCCTACTGCATATAACTCTTCCTCTCTTCTTTCTCTCGCTCTCTTTAGGTGTGATGAACAGCAGGCATGTGGACCTGAAGCTCAAGAAGCTCACAGAGATTCGGCCACAGGGTGGCAGCTCTCCTTCATCTTCATCATCTTCCTCATCGCTGACGGCATCCAGTACTTCACCCCTTAGCCCTGAGTCAGGCGGCATGCAGGTAGCCACATTTACAAACACCTGCTCTAACCATCTCTAATTGTGTTTTAAAATTAAAAAATCACTGTTTCAGCTATAGACGTGAGTGTTATTTCAAATTGTGTGGCTTGTAGCTTAAAAGACCTACATTTTAGGATAGAATAAGCAAGAACTCCCATAGTTCTACATTGAAGTAGGGACCCAAGCCATATTTAGAGACCAGAATATCATAGAGACTTGTGACTTGTAAACAACCACCCAGAATACTTTAGTAAAGCTCTAGCAACAGCTTGACGCTCACAAAAAAAGCCCCAAGTACATTTTCTGCATAAAATGCAAAAATATACCCATCTAAACATTCCTAAAGGAGATTTGGAAGTTTTATTTGTATTTGTTGTTGTTATCAATAACAACATTGGTGCTGTTCAACAACAACAACATCGGTGCCCCTCTCCCCTCCATCCTGGACATTTTCCTTACACAATGCTCCAGCAAAGCCAACCGTGTCGTGAAGGACCCTACCCATCCCTCCCACAGTCTCTTCCAGCTCTTCCGCTAGGCTGCTCGACAGCTTTTTCCCCCAGGCTGGAAGAGCCCTGAACTCAAATCACCCCGCCCCCCTCTGAAACCCCATACAAACCCCTGCCTCCTGAAACATGGACCATCTCACCCCCCCACCCCCCAAACAATGATGCAATTCGAAGTGTGCTACTCACAGGTGAGTGAGCCTGTACAAACCACCTGTAGTAACACACTATCCTCTATGTGCACTAGACACTTTCCACACACACTGCTGTGTGTACATAATCCCACAAAGGTCTCAGTAATATATGTATGTTTACATGCTCATGCACTACAAATCATCTTGCACTGTTCCCCAGCCAGCTGCTTGGCTTACGATGTTTCTCTTTGCACATGTACAGTATTTATGTAAAGCATTTGTATAGTTTGTATTTTTAGTTTAAGTATAGGTAACCATTTATATATAGTATATTTATAGTCAAAATCTGTCAGTATGTTAGTTGTGTATAGGTTTATACTGTTTTACTTCATTGTTGTATGTCTGTTTTATGTAGCACCGTGGTCCTGTGAGGTTCCACTGTATGCCCCCACATGTAGCGGAATGACAATAAAGCTCGACTTGACTTATGTTATGGTCGTTTAACAATATTAAATGATTTGCTTGGATCTATCATTCCCTTGGGTGAGGTAAAAGGCCAAGAGAGGTTGATTTGGTTTTTCTTTTCTTCGCGCTCTCTTAGTATTCGTCTGAGGAACATCATGTGTTTATATATGTTAAGTCAGAACACATGAACGAGTCAGAACGACATTATAGTCATCACCTCGTGTCACAACTGACCTTTTCTGACAGAGAAGAGAGCTTTGAAAGTATCGACAGCAGCGTGTGGCTCAGGACGCTGACATGCATTAGATTGATCTGCCGTGTTTATTAAATACCAGCGTTGTGTGTGTAAGAACATGCATACCTGTGTACCGCTGACTGCTTGGTGCTTAAATGTACATGTGTGTGATGACCTCCTATCTGGCTGTTGTATTCAGAGCCCCCAGGTGGTGACTGCAGGGCATGTTCAGAGATGCTGGTGACTACCTTCCTGCACCTGTTCGCCCCTTTCTCCCTCTCTCTCTTTCTCTCTGCTGACAGAGGGGATTTCCTGTGAGCAGATGTTAGCAGGGTCTTTGCACAATAACTGCAGTGATGTGTTTGTTTGGGTCGACAGGCCTCATTCAGTGCACTGCAGCAGGTGTGAAATGATTGGCTGAGATTTCCCAAGGCCTAGCCACAAATAGGTTAGATTCCAGAGACTGATTTACAGACCCGATGAAGGTGATGCAAAATTGTTGCTCAAAAAGCAATTGATTTGGGTCAGAGAAGAATAATATCTACCCAATTATATTATTGGTAATAATTAACTAATAATAGCATAATTTATAATTTTTTTGTTTAATTACAATTTTTGAGAGAGAAAAAGTTTTTATTGAAAACTGCTATGACAAATAATTAATTTTCTGCATTTTCTTTCACATACACTTCTTTTTGAAAGTTTGGGGTCAGTACATTTGATTAATGTCTTTGTAAAGTCTCTTACTAAGGCTGAATTTATTTGATAGAAAAAATGAAAAAAAAATCAGTAAAAACAGTAATATTATTATATGTTATTACAATTTAAAATAACTTGTTCATTTTAATATATTTTAAAATGAAATTGATTCCTGTGGTGGCAAAGCTGAATTTTCAGCATCAGTGTCACATGATGAAGAAATCATTCTAATTTGCTGATTTGGTTCTTAAGAAACATATGTCTTATTGTCAATGCTGAAAACAGTCGTGCTGCTTTAATATTTTAGTTTAAACCCTAATAGTTTTTTTTTCTCTCAGGAGTTTTTGATGAATGGAAAGTTCAAAAGAACATTGTTTATTTGAAATAGAAATATTTTGTAATATTATAAATGTCTTTAACTTTTGATCAGTTTAATTCACCCTTGCTGAAAAATAATTAATTTCTTTAAAAAACTATAATATAAAACTATAATAATTAATAAAAATTATAATAATAATCTAGCTGACCCCAAACTTTTGAATGGTAAAGTATAACACTTATTTAAAAACAAAAAAAGAACACTATTGTCAAAAGCTGCCAATTATTTTTAAGTAACAGTACAACTGCAATCCAAGTTACGATAAATGAGTTGATTATTTAACCGTAATTTATAGTGCGCCTTCATTATGAAAAGGCTTTAAGTGGCAAGAGTCTTGTTGTCTGTATAAACTGTCCAGCACCTGCTGCAGACCTGCAGGCCTGCACAACAGGCCAAAGCCCAGGGGAGGATCAGCAGGGTTACGAGCGCTGCAGCTCTGAGCCCCAGTGGTTAGTGGGGTTTTAAAGAAAGAGCAGCTCTTGCTCTCTCTTTTCTTTTCCCACCTTCAACCCTCATCTCCATTGCAACTTGTATGCAAGTTTGAGTATCAAATCTGTTCCTCCTTTGCTTCTTGCCTTTCTAAGACAAACATATTAGGATTACATTCTCTCTCTCTCTCTCTCTCTCTCTCTCAAGGCCTGATGTTGTGGTAACGTCTTTTTACTCTTACAAAATCTGAATCAACCGCTCCATCCCCAGAGGATTCTCCCATCCCACAACTCCTTGAGGCTGTAGTAGAACGGTGCGGGACAGAATGCCCCCCACCATCCCAGCACACACATTGCAGTCCCCCAGTGCTCCCGGTTGTGTCTCATTAGCAATTGTCTCTATGCACTGTGAGCCTGCTGCCATGGTGGCACATGATAACCGCCTGCAATGAGCAGCAGACCGCAACATTAGTCACGCATCCCAGAAACACACACACACCTCTGCCAAAATAATACCCAGCACCACAATAATGATCGGGACGATAACAGATTAAAAAGCGCCGATCGTGATGTTGGGATAGCCCTGATATCTGTCCCAGCCAGGGGTACCGAGGGGCCGTGGGGGCAGGTGTTTCAAGGAAGGGCTGGTTAGCGAGGGTTGGAGGCCTTGGGTCCTTCGGGAAACGAGGATTCTAGCGGGGCTTTGGGTTTGAATCCTGTTTGTTTTCTTTGGATTTTAACATGAGAGGAATCAGATGGGGTTAAAGGGCTTTGTTGAGCTGTCTCTAGAGATCCAGGCTGTTGAATATGTCGTTTTAACATGTAACACTCTCACGCCTTTGGTTTTTTTGTCATAACTGCAGTGCGTTCCACTTATAATGGCGGATTTAAGGTGAAATTACATTTTTCTTTTTCACCCCCAGATTGCCAACATATGTTTAAGTGGGTTGTGATGTATTGCTCATTTCTCCCACTCTGTCCTGTCTATCAACTAATTGTTTTTTCCCCAAAAAATGTATACCTACAATGATTTGAATAGACCTATTCTATGAGAAGCATGCTTTTTCATTTCTGACTTCAAATTGTATTTGTGTGTGTGTGTGTGTGTTTGGGAGGGGGGTTAAATGTTGTAAAATGTGGTGTAGTCATATTTATGAATTAATTATTCATTATATTTACAAAAGATACTTAAAATATATTTTAAAACTTTCAGAGCACTTTGCTATAAGGTCTAGTTTGTTAATATGAATGCATTAAATAACAAACAAACATTAACTAAAAACTATACGCAATATATTTTTACAGCATTTATTAACCTTTCTTAATGTTAGTTAAAAATGTTTGTTCATGTTAGTTCACAGTGCTGTCAGTAAAATGTTGAGATTAATATTAATAAAGGCTGTAGAAGTATTGTTCATTTGTTCATGTTAACTCATGTAGTTATCTTGATACATGTTTCTTTATCATATATGCTTTTAGGTCCCACTTTATATTAAGTGGCATTAACTATGTGCTTACATTTAAATTAATCATTTGATGCAGTGCACTTATTGTGTACATGTTTTACATATATTTTAAAAAAAAATACCTGCATGTAATTGAATCTGTAATTAATTTATGTAATTACATTTATAATTACACTGTTGACCCATTCCTTACACCTTAACCCACCCTTAAACCTACCCATACCACCAAACCTGTCCCTAACCTTACCCGTATCCCACCTCAATAGCAGCAAAAGTGTTTTGCAATACAATATGAACACAATAATTAAGTACATAGTAGTTAAGGCCACTTACTATAAAATGGGACTTGCTTTGATATGTCATTGACCCACGTACAGGTATGTGTTTCATCCAGCCTGTAGGAATCTCTGAAAGTTAAGTTACAATCTGTCAAGATGGCTGAAGAGGAGCTACAAATTAGGGCTTTAGACAGCTGATATTGTTCGTTTAAACATGTCGGGTCAGTTGGATAAACCGCTATAATTATTAATATTCACACATAGAGATGCTGAACATCTCTGAGATCAGGCTAAATTTGTTGTTCTCTAGGGACACGCTAATTGCAGCTTTGTTTTCAAAAGTTATAATTTAAGAATAAACAGGCCAGAGGCGGTGTGTGTGTGTCTGTACACGCTTGTCTTTATTAGCTGTGCGGTTTCCGTACACACACCAGTGAGTTAGCGTCTGCACTAACAATGTTTCTCCCTCTCAGTCTCAAGCAGTGGAACGTGTTCGCTAATTGCGAACTTTATTAGACGTTTCCTATTATTATTGACGTTGCAAATGTTATTCTGAACGCTGCCGTTTCGCTTTCCAGTCTGCTTGGCTTATTGGGCCCAGCACATAATAACACATTTCAATATTGAGGTGATTGGAAGCCGCAGTGAGAAGCTGCTAACACGTGTTCGCTTCCAAGACAATAGTGCTTTTAATTTGCATAATCTGAATACATTTTCTGGCTCAGGTTTTGTTGAAAGTAGACTTAATTGCCTTATTTCCTTTGTGCTTGTGAGTTAATGTGGGACTCGGAGATGTACCAAATGCTGCAGAACCTTTCCTCGGCCGTTCTTCAGGCGCGCCGCTCCATCGTTAAACATTACTTGGCCATGTGTGTCTAATTTGTTCTTTTCTTTAATGTCGACCGGCATCAGAAGCTACTTTTATTCAAATGACTCTGCTCTACTTTTAAGTTAACTGCTCTTTTACTCTTCTGCACCCACCCCCCATCCCTCTCTCTTTTTTTATGTTTTTATAGAATAATGTTGATGAATTGCATGCAGAGCGTCTTCGCAGGGCAACGGAACGTCTGCGCAGTCCCGTTGTCTTTCACAAGGAGTCTGCAGTTAGGAAAACACAGCTCAAATCATTCAGCCAATACGTAGAGACCAGGCCAGGTGAGGTCCTTTACTTTCGTTGTCACTGACTGCATAAAGTTTATGGAGGATTTTACATTGTTGAACAGTTCAGTAATCATTAAATGAATGTATTTAATGCATAAGCCTGTTGCAGTCAGGTTTATTTTTCTAGTTAAATAGGCTTAATGTGAAGACTATCTTGAAGTGTCTCAAGAATGCTAACAGTTTAATAACAGCTGTATAAGGTGTTTCTATACACTTTGTGATTTCTTTAATGAAGATGTCCGATCTGTCTGAATGGTTCATCTGATAAAGAAAAATGTCTTCATATTCAGTTATAGTGAGTTTGTGATTGTGCCCAGGTGAGAATGAACTCTATCAACGTTTAATATCTCTCTTTCTCTCGTTTCAGAGGTTAAAAGGCAGAGATCAGTGCCTGAAGATCTAAAGCGGGCAGCCGAGGAGAGAGGAGCTTTGACAGAGACAGAAGGACGAAAGCCAAGTGAAGATGAAGTACTTAAATGCATATTTAAATTCTCAGTCAGAGCTGTTCTTTCGTACTGATGTTGTCTGTGACACCAGGTCATAGTTAGACGTCAAACCTGCACACAGTCCCTCACATCTGTCTGAGGGCCAGAGAGGTTTTTTAACACTGATGTCAATCTGTTCTTCCCTAAATCTGAAGAGAGCAGCCAAGTTAGACTGCTGTTCCCTGATAATTGTAAGATAAAAAAAAAAGGAAATGGACAGAGTAGTAGATATACCTCTTTCACTCCTCCTGTATATCCTTTTCTCCGAACCCTTTTCATTTGTTTTGAATGTTTACATTTTTAAATGGTTCAAATGTAATTTATTAATTTTAAATATTTTATTAATTTAAATTATTGAAAATATAATTAAAAATATAAAAATATTGTATATATTTTATATATTGTGTACATAAATATATTGTGTGTGTATGTTTTATATATATATATATATATATATATTTATATAATTATCTTTTCTTGTCCCATCTTCATTTATTCTCTCCATGTAGGCTGATCTAATGAAATTTTAATTATTGTGGCACCATATATAGGGCCAGAGCAATAGAGAAACATACCCTGGGAAGAGTGAGATAGATAGAGACACAGAAAGAGAGAGAGGGGAAGGTCAGTAGAGACCAGCTTTGCCCCTCTCTGTGTAGGGGTTAATGGGTGTTGAACTTGCCCATTACCCAGCTCAAGCTGAATTACCCAGCGAATGATGTTTGCATTAATATAATATATATGGAAATTTCAACACTTAATTATGGCAGAGAGGCGAGAGCAGAGGGGAGGGGGCTGATCATGTGTAAAATTGATTTGTGGGAGAAGTATTTGATAGAGCAGCAAGGAAGAGGAAGGTGGAGTTTGATGGACAGCAGGAGGACTCAGGCAGAAAAAGTGCTGTCTTGGATGGAAAAAAACTTTCTTCCCCATTTCCCTCGTTCCTATTATGAAATAAGGTGCATCAGCACTAAATATATAGATATATTTGCAGCAATCTTTAGGATGTGAATTTAAATTAGCACTCTTTTTCCCCTCCCCCTCTATCTCAGAAGAGTAGGAAGGATGGAAGGAGGAGAGGACAGAGGGGGGCGATAAACGAGTGGAATAAAGAGGGGGTGGGAGTGCTTGTCACTATCACACACTCAGAAATAAGCGTGCAGTTTAATTACTCTATTTCTCCCTAATCACCATCTCATCCCTCACTCCAGTATTTCCCACGAGCCAGAGGGTGCTGCTGCCACCAGGGCCACGTGTGAGAGAAAGGGAGCGTGTCTCCAAATGTGTACATGAGTGAATCTGAGCACAAGCATGTGCTGCGTAGATCTCTTAGATCCCTGCTGATAGGCCCTTAGGCACTGACCCACCTCTCCTGTATATTTCAATTTGGTCTCTCTGTGTGTCAGTCTCCAGACTGCTGTAATACTGGATTCTCTCTGAGGTCATTTAGCGTTTCGCGTTTATATTGGTGTGTAAGTACACCCTCCTGCCTGAGGCTTTACATATGAATTCAAACCTCAGCATTTAAAGCTACAGTTATTATATACAGAAACAGATATTATTACAGCAGGAACTAAGGCAATAAATAAATTAAAATAAATCTTCAAACCGTGTCAGAAAAATTATCATACAGTAGAATACTTTCATCATACATGTATAATATGTTAATGTAATAAATTCATGCACATAGTCATACCTCGGCATTTAAAGCTACAGTCCGTAACTGCAGAAACAGATATTATTATGCTAGGAATTAAGGCAATAAATAAGGAATTATTTATTTATTTAAATAAATAAATAAAGCTTTAAACATAGTCAGAAAACTTTATGGTACAGTAGCTCTGAGTAGTTCTTTGTAAATGTACTCCATTTTTAACACAATACTTTTATTTTATGTTAATATATCTAATCTTTTTATTTATTTATTTATCTTTCTTTCTTTTTAACTTTTTAAAATCTTTTTATTTTTATAAAAAAAATTGTTTTGATTTTAACCATCTTAGTAATTAGCCTAATTTAGGAATGTTTGTATGTCATTTTTATCACTTTTAAAAATTGACAGCGGTACGTCATTTCCCAAAAAAAAAGCAGAAAAAAAGAACATTTCATTAATTAAAGCAATGTTCACCAGTCATCATTATGACCACTGTTCCCCTGGTATTAAAAAGCTATATAAACCCAGGATGTGATGCTTCATTTCGAACCTCTCATCACTCCCCTTCCTCTCGTTTGTTCTTGCCCAGCAGAAACCGTTCAAAGACACCAGTCAGTACGTGGTGGGAGAACTGGCGGCGCTGGAGAGTGAGCAGAGGCAGATCGACACGCGGGCCTCGCGTGTGGAGAAGCGTCTGCGCTATCTCATGGACACAGGTACGCCGCCCAATTACACTGTAAACAGTTTTGGCAAATTGAGCGTTCACAAACTCTTATGGAGTTTGGGAAGTGTGAATCTTTGAAGCCGGGGTGTTGGGGCGGCAGCGGGGATATGAAAAGGGGCGGTGAGGATGCAGGGAGGCTCTCTGGGCTGCCGTGATAAGAGAGCCTTCATGGGAGCTGATAACTAGTGCTGATAGCGTCCGCCAGCCAGCCACTATTGAACAGTACCGTGCAGCCATGCGCAACAGAACCCCATATCTGGCCTTCAATGATATGCTGTAGAAGAGAGAGAGAAGGAGGGAGAGGGGGATACGGCAGAGGGGTAAAGGGTGAAGAGGGGAGGAAGAGAAACGGGGAGGGCTGCTCTTTGGGGGCTGGACCGAAAAGGAAATGTTGAAATAATGAAAGACACATATTAATAGATACATGCGCTTGCTCTCCTCCTCCGTCTCTCTCTCCCTCTGTCGCTCTCTCTTCTCCTCGCATATACACATATGAAAGGATGTGGGGCGATCTTTCGGGTGTGTATTGCAGGGAAAAAGGGCTGCGGAGCCTTTGTTAAAACATGGAGCTCCGTTCTGAGACTCCAGTGCCTCAATAACTAAAATTTAAGAAAAGCTTCCTTCCATCCAGATGCTGATACGAAACAATCATTTCTCATAAGGGCAGCATCGGGAAGCAAGGGTTGAAAAAAGGAGGGGAAAGTAGACGGTTGAATTTTTGTGCTTCTCCATCACATTGAGGATGATATCATGACTATCAGAGTTTTGTGTTTGCCCAACCTTCCATCCATCCCTCCCTCGCTCGCTCTCTTCACACTCACCTGGACCCCGTTGAAGTCAAAGCCGCTGTGTCTGTTTGAAGGGGGTTTTTTTCTCGTTCTGAATGATAAATGGCTTGAATGCCCTAGCAGGTGGAGAACCAAACCAGACATTTCGGTAAGATTTACACACTCACACACAGAAATAAGAGGCACAGTTACACACCAGACCCCATGTACAAGTCTCACCTTAATGTGCTTACCTGTCTGAGCTAGTGCACGCATTTTAGCACTGCAAACAGGTGCATTCACGCCGCTGTCAGGTTCACAGACAACATAGTCAGCCAGAAACAGCCTCTATAGCTAAATATACACAAAACAAATGTCATATGTTATGCTCAGAATACACATATTTAATATAATCATGCTAAGCTGTGTTGCACTGTATTAGTACAAGTATTATAAATAAGTATTGTATATTGTCATAAGTTTTTTAACTACATATTTCTATTCGTTTTGATAGCATGTAATTATTTTTTATGTCACTAGAAATTATTCAGATAAATATATATGGCATATGAATATATGTGATTTGTACAGTTAGGGTTGCGCCCAATATAACCACAAAACCAGTCATAAGGGTCTTTTTTTATGAAACTGAAATATCTGAAAGCTGAATAAATACGTTTTCCATTAATGTATGGTTTGTAAGGAAAGGACAATATTTGGCCGAGATACAACTATTTGAAAATCTGGAATCTGAGGGTGCAAAAAAAATCGAAATATTGAGAAAAGTACCTTTACAGTTGTCCAAATGAAGTCCCTAGCAATGCACATTTGTAATCAAAAATTAAGTTTTGATATATTTACGGTAGGAAATATACGGTTACAAAATAGCTTCATGGAACATGATCTGGTTTTGTGGTCTAGGGTCACATATTTAGAATATATATTCACAACATGCATACAATGATGACTGCAAACAAATAAGCAAAAGTTAAATAAATGTGTATGCATATCTGTATGTATGCACACATATAAAGTTATATTTATATACATATAAAAACTGTATTAAGAACTACTCGTGATCCCTGATACCCCCTCCCCCTCTCATTATACGCTCTGCCTTAGTCTGCTGTTTTTTTTGCGTTTGTTTCCCAGATGAATTCACAGTAATTGGGCTGGTTAATTTATTTACTGTGTGCAGTTCACAGCACATTAAAGAATGAAGATAATTGAACACGAATTGTCAAGTGTCTTCTGATATCAGGCGTATTACAGAAGGGAATGCATATAAAACTCTATTTCCATGCAACCATTGTTTATGGTAATTAAGTACACAGATGTATTCCTTGGTTGCCTTCCAAGCTTATGGCGACTGCCATTGTTGTCTTCTATTAATATGTAATCAGTAAATAGTTTAATTTTCTAATCTGCAGTTGGAGAATTCACTTTCTAACAGCTCTTAATTATGGCAGAGCCCTAATGATGCAGCCGCTGATGGGCTAGGAGGCCGTAAACGGAACGCAGAGTGCTCGGGGGAACACAGAGGCTTGCGGTGGCTCCTGCCTAATGAACTTGTTATTCCCACACCAGAGGGAGCAGTGTCCTTCACACACACTCACTCGCCAGCAGCTCAACTATTACCTCAGTTAGCCCACATCCCCTGGAATTACGTCTAAATATGTTATTGTCACTCGATTTTCTAAACATATCAATTTTGAACGTTTGGCAAAATCAAAAACGAGAGAGGAGAGCTATTCGCGCACTTGCCATTCTGTCCGAGCACAATACCGTCCCGAATCACATAGAAATTTTTTCAGCATGCAGCATTGAAATGTGTGTAAATGTTATCTGCACGGCTTTTGATAGTCAGCAAGCCACTGAATGCATCTCCCTGACATCTGCTCAGCATGCATTTATGCATACATATGATTTTCAAATTGCTTTATAACCTGCAACAATGAACGCAATTATGAAAATAATGCCATTTAAAGGCGCTCTAAAACCCACACACCTACAGAGTTCTCGATAAGAGATTTTTAAAAAAGCACAGAGGAAAAGAATGAGTTTTAGGTGAGATTAACATATGTTTAAAAATTGCACTTGAGTCTGATAAGATTGACACAGGTTTTATTGCATGCTAATCCGTTCTCTTTTTCTCCGCCGCGGTCACAGAAATTCATACAAGACGGATATCATCAGCTTAATGCAGTTTACAGACAAGCCATCACAGTAGTCTGTGCCAGAAAAACAGACGCACAGCGGTGTCAGAAGAGGCCCATTATGTTTGTTTTATTCACGGAGACATGGCCGTCCTCTTCCGGGCTTCTTAACGGATGTGCACCTTTTTATATTTCAGTCTCAAAACGTCAGTCCTATTTTTTTTTTGTCGCTTTTCCCCCCTCAGTTTTCCCACATTAATTCACCGTGCCCACATTCCAAGGCAGTGTTGGCCATGCAGAAATAATTGCTTGAGTGTCTGCGTTTATAGATCTCAGCTCCGCCAAGACTGAAATGGAATTGCTTGTGTGGCTAAGGCAACATGCTTGTAACCAGCCCCTTAGTTTGACTAAAGATTTAAGCTTGGCTACGTGAGTCGCATGGGGAAATGGTCTCCGAGCTCAGACAACAGCTAACAGCTAACACCGCTTTAAGTATATTATCAGGCAAGTTCTTTCAGAAACGTATTGCTAAAGAAGCTTAACATTAATTATTGTAACTTTGGGAAGATTACATCCACAGCATGCTTGTAAGCGGTGGCATAGTCCTCTTGACCTCCTATGCAAGAGCTTAAAGACACTAGAATGGCATTTCAGCTGCATTAATAGGATAACCAGTATAATCTTTCCGCAGTAAGAGAAGGAAAAGTGTTTAGAGCATAATACTCGCCCTGGTTCTGGGGACGAGACGGGTTTTGTGATGTCTCTCGCAATCGGCACGCACCGGGCTTTATCGGTGTAATCGCAAACTCTTTTTCTCTCCCTCTGCTGTTCTCTTTCTTCTGTTGTCTCTCTTTCAATTCTCTTTTTTTCCCTCTTCTCCCTCTGTCCTATTCTTTCTCCTCCATGGGATTTGCATGCTAGTTCAGTAGCTTGTCCACTCTAATTTTAAAGACCAAAGACCTTGTTTAGCCTTCCTGCTAAGTGTGCGCCGTGAGTAGCGGAAAAGTAAGCCTGGAAACAAACGCAGGAATTCGGCTCATAAGGATGGCTTTTATCGGCACGACCAAAGGCCAGCGCTGGATCAGGAGGTGACCGCCTATTCAGGTTTAGTGCTGGACTATGTGCTCGACTTCAAGAGCTGGTTAACATCAGAATGGTCCATTTTCAGCTGCTGGCTTTTGCGGCCTTTGTTCTTCCCACTGGTTTTAATTCTCACCGGACCGTTACGCACGCAGCGTAGATGGCCTTTGTGAAGTCATGTATTCTTGCTACCTAATATAAACAGGTTAGACCTTTAGCCTCAATTAATGCATGTTGTAAGACATTAGCACTAGTCTTGCATTTGTCCAGTTTATGGCAGTGGTCTCTGGAAGCAAGAAGGAAAACGCCTCACATCAGCCCTTTTTAATCTCTGAGGCTGTTTGAATGTTCGAGAGGCAAAAACAATTTAATTAGTTAAGTTGCATTGACTTCGCATTCAAACCCCCAACCAGCAAGCCCTCCCTTCGAAAGCGTACCCCCCTTTGACTGCCATTCCAGTAAGAACCAGCCAAAAGCAGCTAGTGCCGTGCCACTGCGGCTCCATACGCGCGGAAAAACAGAGAGCCGCTCTCCACAATGCCAGCCAAGACCTCAATGATCTGCTGGCCTTTTTTTTTTTGTAGTTTTTTGTTGTGTTTTTGTGGCACTGGTGTGCGTGACTGTCTTTTTTCTTTTTTATGGGATTTTTGTCTTTAGTGTAGAGGACAGTAGAGAGGAGATGGGATTGGATTTGTTTGAAACAGGCAGGATTTGAACTTGGATTTAAAATATTTCTTTAAATTGCACTTTTGAATGTCATTCAATATGTGTGGTTGTTAAATTTGTTTTTAATTTACCTCAATTAGATTTTTCCTAGAAGTTCTCAACTAGAAAAAGGCTTAGCAAAAGAGTTTGGTGCACTGGACTCTTGTTTGCATGATTGATCATTATTTGGTTTACAAATTGTCTCCTGACAACATAATTGAATTTCAGTCATGCACTTAATTAATAGACCTTTTCATATGGAAACTGATTAAGACACACTTTAC